ACACTATCTAAGCCCTTTTGCAATTAGGTGGTGTGATGATTAGGGCATTCAATTATCCCTTAAGATTGTATGGTTAGAATACGAAAACCCTAACCTGATGAAGATCCAGCAGCTATGGTAGTCGTGGAACCGAGATGAAGAAGTCTTCTGTAAACTCCTAGCCTTATGACAATGCTCTATGAGAAGCCTCAGGGCTCGTTTGGATGTGTTTTTAGAATGACTGAAAGCGTTTTTTAGAGAAAATGTTTTTTGGTTCCAATAGCATTTGAAGTGATTTCTGCAAGAAGCACTAATTATGTGCTTCTTATAGGAAGCATTTTAAGTGATTTTCCAGAATTTACTTGCATTTTAACTAAGGATTGGTTCAAAAAATATTTTAACCAAAAATGCTTTCAGTCATATTAAAAGCACATCCAAACGAGCTCTTAATTGTCGTATATTCTATGGTTTACATCGTCCGGTATTTATACAAGCTATAGGCTAGGGTTTCCATCTATAAAGGAAACCTAAACTCACTTTCTTAGCCTTCAAGTAAAGTATCATAATCACATTCAATTAAGGAAATCCATCAATCCTACTTACATTATAAGACACTCTAATTAGGATTGATTTTTTAAGAGATCAAATCACAATCGACTTATTATCTAATTATTCATTCTTATTACATATAGTAGACCATATAAAAGTTGATTTATATTGGATAAATCCAACACATTCATCTAATGTTTTTCTTTATCATATTAATTGACTTCTAGTGTTACAAGATTTAATCAGAGTTAGGCTTATTGTCCTTTCGTCATAACCGTTACATTTATTAGTAAGTTCTTCCTTTTACCGTCGAGGTTTTATCATGTGAGGATCACATATGCATAAACATATCAAATCAAAAAATAAATTACATAAAAGTGGGATTAGTACTAGTCTGGTGGTATTCATTTTCACTTATAAGTGAGAGGTCTTTGGTTCAAATCTCGTGAATGATGAATTCGATACCAAATTAGGTTGCTCATTGTATGGTTTAGCCGAACTCTCCCCTCTCCTTAGTGTAAAATAATTGTTGTACTAAAATAAGTGCGAAAAAATGTGGCCAACTACATTTTAAACAATTCAATTTTGGAGGTATTTTAAAATAGCTAGAAAGCCATTTCATTCTAAGGTGTTTTAATTGTAACAGTTTATATTTACGTGAAATTGATGAAGTGACACATGTGAGACCTATTTCTAGGTTGATGTATTAACCACACTTCCATAATTTAGACCAAAATGCGTTCTGTTGTCATTTTTGTTTTATACAAAGAACAATTTAGGAGAAGTCGAAGCTCCATAACAAGTTGTTTTTTTGTCCATGTCGTGCACATGTGGCTCACATTATAGGAGAAGTCAAATCTCCACCACAATAAAAATGTTACAATTATAAACTGAAACAGTTAAATCATTATTAAAGGTGGAGTTCGACAAAGCCACATTATAGGCAGCCTAATTTGGTGTCGAATTCACCATCCACAAGATTTAAATTTAAGATCTCTCACTTCCAAGTGAAGAAGAATACCACCATACCGTAATACTGAAGAATACCACCACACTTACTCTAACTTAGAAGAAAAGAAAAGACTTGGTGGTAAATATGTAAAAACACAATAATGCCCATTAGTATTGTTTTAAACAAGGTTCTAAAAGACGTTAGGCACTAGTCGGGCAACATGTTGGGGCCTAGTGCCTAGGCGGACTAAATGGATTTAAGTAAATATATTATATTTTGTGTATATAAGTGTCTTTTTATACTTAAAATATATACAATTTCATCATAAATTACAAAGTATGATGATATATATATTATGAAATATTGGAACATAATGAAAACATGGGAAACAAACATATAATGTGTGTTCATTTAAGTATACAACAAGTCCCTAATAATTTATTGTAAAAAATAAAATGCAAAATGAAAGTGATCTATTTTATGTCTAAATGAGTCGCAACCTAGCTGAGTGCATAGGCGAGTCTGGGCGGGCGTCTCAGCAGGTCTAATCGCCATTTCTTAATTTTCAAATGTCTAGGCATTAATTTGGACGGTGATCAGCAGCCTAGTACCTAGGCGGGACCTAGACGGCGCTATGCGGAAATTTTTAGAACAATAATTTTAAGCCACAAATTATTTTCGTTATTAGGATTGGGTCAACCAATATCTTGTGAATTGAAGGAGAGGTCAGTAAATAGAAAATTAGAAAGGGGTATTGACTTTAGTTGGAGAAGAAATTTGTTTTATTTGAAGAGAAAAATTGTCTAAGCCTACGCTACAAAAAAAAATGACCATTAACTTATGCCGAGCTATAAAATTAGGATAGTGCTATTCATATACACATTTTTATTTTTCACACATTTTTTTAATTTTTGACAGTCAGATCTAATAAATTGAAGAAGACTAGTAATCAAACATTAATAAAAATGTGTAAAAAATAAAAATAAATGCGTAAATAATACTATTTCAAATTATTATTTAACGTAAACCAAATTGAATACAAATAAATAGAATTTGTTTCTTAAGATCATCTCCAACCTTTGGACTAAAAGCCAAATTTTTTAGCTCTGAAAATTTGGCTTTTAGCCCATAAACATTTTTTCTACTCCAACCCTTCTAGACTAAAATTTTAGCCCGGAATTATTAAAGAATGAACTTAGGCTAATTTTTTTCTTAAATCAATTTTTTTTTTAAATAAATATGTAGATTATTGTAAATTAATTTTATGAACATTTTAATTTAAAAAAATTTAAATTTCGACAAACATTTGGCATTTAGCCCAGGGGAAAGCTGGGGGGGGGGTATTTGGCCCAGAAATAACATTTGGCATTTAGCCTAAAATTTTAACATGGGTTGAAGAGTGTTTGGGGGGTAATTTGGCTTTTAGCACAAGTTTGGAGATGGTCTAATATAATTACGTACGAAAATCCAACACCTAGCCAGCTGAGCCCGCGCACAGATACACACTACTGACACTATGACTCAATTGGACTCATTAGTCAATCAAAAGGGGCCCACACAATTCGGTGAAGGTCCACCCCCGTCTTTCGTCTTCCAACCCCCGAAGACTCCACCAACAGCCGACCTTTTTCAACACTCTCATTAAATTAACTCCACAATTGAAAATTTGAAAGCATGAAATTAAATTAACTATTTAACCGGGCTTCTCATTTTATTATGTGACCGATTTATGCATCGTGGTTAGAATTGTTAATATAATAAATCATTCTATAAAAAATTTATCTCTGCATTAATAAAATATGAAATTATTTAGTTATCAAATTATATAAAAACAAATAGACTGATTCAGTATAAATATTTTGAATCATCTATCTACTATCTACTGTTGATTGACTAAACGATTTTAATTTTGTTTGATTCTTTTTAAAAATGATATGTACAAAGTGATTATAATATAAACTATTCTGATTATAAACATGGAATACAGTTAATCAAACACAAAATTAATTAAGGAGGAACTCCTCAATTTTAAGGAACCAAGCTCCACTCTCAAATTAATCAACTAAACCAAACAAACATTACCATAACTAAAATTAAAACCAGATTAATTAACTCGAAACAAAAATAAAATCTTCTACTGTATTGCAACTAAAATTTTAAATTTTACTATATATGCTAGACATAAAAATCAGATTTTTTTTTTAACATTAAAGAAGGTCTAGTTAATTAATTTTTCTTGTAAGCACATTAAGTTGTAAATTGTCTTGGTGATTAAGATCTTCCTTTTCAACCGGATATGTTTTGGGTTAAAAAAAATTAGTTTCTTGCAACAACAAAATCATTAGATATAAGTTAGTGTGCAGTCATAATTTAATTAAGAATGTGATTGTGTAAATCATATAAGGATCATATAACATCTTTCAGATAGTGTCCTAGTTCAGTTGTAATACTTAAAAGGTAAGAAGTTTACCTTCCCTAAAAATAAAAGCAGAATAGGATAATTCTCTCTTTTCTCTCTTGCCGCCCCCAAAAAAGAAAAAAAAATCGCGTGTTATAACTGAACCCTTAATTTAATTTAATTCGTTAAAAGAGACGCACTTTCCAATATTATTTTCTTACCTTAAATAGAACCAGAGGCCTTAATTTTGATCAATGGATTAAACAATGTCATTGGTATTTATGGTACTATAGACTAAAATTTGAGGGAATATAAATTTTAATGTTGCGCGAAAAATAACATATATTATAAGTGCAAAGTTTATATAGTACGGCTTTCTTAGAGATGAAGAATATGATAAATATTGAAGGAAAATTTGGTTGCTTGATGTCGAAAGATTTTTTCATCGAGGCCAAACTTAACTCCTTGATCTCAATATCATGCCAGCCCTTTAATATTTAAACAAAAATTTACATAAACAAAATGATTCAAATTTACAGTTTAACAACATTTACAAATAAAGTTACCAAAGAATATTTGTCATTAGTTATCTTCCAACCTAGTTAACGTTACAACTTACAACGTTACATTACTTATACCACTTACTCTTTTGTTCTTTTCTTTAAAAAGGGGACCAATTGGTGGCTTTGCCACAATAGTACACATTTCCAAGGATCGGGAAGACTCACAAAAACATTTCAACTTCCTTTGATCACTATCTTATGATTCATCAGCACTAAAAATTGAACCTAAACATGCGGGGTATAAACATAAATAAAAGATAAAACAAACTCCAAATAAGTCCGACACAGAAACATTTTTTTGGTTAGATTTATTTCCCAACCCTTTTCAATACATTTTACTCTTTTGCAATAAAAGAACAAAAACAAAACTTTTTGTTTTGTAAAAATAGAATTAAGAAAATACCCACTTTACTCTTTCCATAGAAAAGTAAACAAATAAAAAAGTAATGTGTTAAATAAAAAATAATAAGAAAAAGAAAAAGAAAACTACCCCAACAGGCAACAGTTCAAAGCCTATAACTTGTCATCCCCCTTCCTCTCAGCTCGAACCAGGCTTCATCACTCCCGCTTCGGTTTGATTTTCTTCTCTAAATATTTATTAAATTATTATTACTATTATTCTTAGCTTTATGGGGTGTACGGCGTCGAAATTGGACAACGAGGACACTGTGAGGCGGTGCAAGGAGCGGCGCCGCCTCATGAAAGACGCCGTCTACGCTCGCCACCACTTGGCCGCTGCCCACGCCGACTACTGCCGTTCCCTCCGCCTTACCGGCTCTGCCCTCGTCTCCTTCGCCGCCTTCGAGCCTCTCTCTATCTCCCACCAAACCCCTGCCGTCTTCCTCCACCAAGTCCCCCCTCCCACCACCAACCACATCCCTCCACGTGCCCCCTCCCCCGCTCCCTCCTCCCTCCACCCGCCACCACCTCCTCCGCCTCTCTCTCCCACCATCAACAGCTCCAACCTCCCCCACATCCTTTCCTCCTCCTCCGCCCACTCCTCTCGCCAACATCGCCGCCGCCGCCAGCCGCCGCCGAAGCTTCCTCACATACTGTCGGAATCGAGTCTTCCTTCTTCCCCTGGAAGTCAGAAGTCGAATTTCAGCAACCCTTTTGGGTTTCCGTCGGCTTTCCAGGCGGAGTCGAACTACTCGAGGACGCCGTCGCAGGCCTCCTCCATGTGGAACTGGGAAAATTTCTACCCTCCATCGCCGCCGGACTCTGAGTTCTTCGAGCAACGCCAAAAAAGCCAAACGCAATCCCGCCAGCACCAAAAATCGCCCCACCACCTCGACCCGGAACATTCCGACGAGAACGATTCAGAGACGGAGGCGATAGAGGCGGAGCCGCTCGAGACCGAAACCGAAAGATCGGAGTACGATTTCTTCCTCAACCATCGAAACCCAAAAGCCCAGAATGCCCATCATCAAAATAGGCACGAGTACGCTCAGTCGGAGAAGTACGCGCCGTCGCAGAAGTACGCCCATTCCGAGAAATACGCTCAGTCGGAGAAGTACGCGCCCTCGCAGAAGTACGCCCATTCCGAGAAATACGCTCAATCGGAGAGGGAGGAGGTGCAGTGCAGTGAGTGGGACGACCACGACCACGACCACTACAGCACGACGAGCTCCTCTGACGAAGGGGACGACGAGAGGGAGTCGAGATCCGAGATGGGTACCCGGTCGACTTTCGAGCCGGAATCGGTTCGGGCCGAGTCGGTGGCCGGTTCGGGCCGGGTTCCGGTGGCTCAGGCGATGCCGCGGTATGCACCAAGCACGAGCAAGTCGGAGAGGTCGGAGGGGTCGGAGGGCGGGAGCACTTACCGGAGCAGTGAGATCTCCAATATGAAGATGGTGGTGAGGCACAAGGATTTGAAGGAGATTGTGGAGGCGATTAAGGAGAATTTCGACAGGGCCGCAACCGCCGGCGACCAAGTTTCCGAGATGCTCGAGACCAGCCGGGCCCAGCTCGACCGGAGCTTCCGGCAGCTAAAGAGTATGTCCTCCTTTTAACTTTGAATTGGGGGTGTTTGGTTCCCGGGAAAATGTGTGGGAAAATAAATCGAATCTTTGGGAATGTGATCAAAACGCAAACGATTTATTCAAATTTCATGGAAATTTTTAAATTTTAAGGGGCATTAAATTTCGGGTTCAATTGGAATTAACACTGATTTCGTTCCAATTATTTCTTGCAGAGACAGTGTACCACTCCAGTAGTGTGCTGAGCAGTTTGAGCTCTACTTGGAGTTCAAAACCGCCGCTGGCGGTCAAGTACCGCCTGGATGCTGGCTCGCTCAACAGCGAGCCCGGCGGTTCAAAGAGCCTCTGCTCCACCTTCGAACGGCTCTTGGCCTGGGAGAAGAAGCTCTATGAGGAAGTCAAGGTATTCATTAACTTTTACTCAATTTTTTTACCCAATTGTAATTTTTGTTGGTTAATTAAGAATAATTTAGAGTAATTAAGCAAATCTGGTTGGGTTTAATCTTAAGACTAAAGGGTGGGTAGCCATCAGTGACAGTGGGTTGTACTGATGGATTGATGCTCTGACCCACCACGGTTTTTATTATGGACCCGGCTTCTCTGTCCTCCTATTTCTCATATTTCTCATTCTGACATTTTATTTTGTGTGATCATAGTTAAGTTATGTTAATATTTTATATTGATTTTTTTTATAGAAATAATAAGACAAAAAATAATAATAATATAAAATATTGACGTGATTTAATCGTGACCGCATAAATAAGAGGAGAAGATGAGAGTGTATGGGAAGGGGAAGGGCAGAGAAAGCCAGGTCGTTTTAGTATAACGTCTAAAAAACCTGCATTGACGAAAATGCCTATGGTCGGTGCTTGGGCACAAAGTTCGGGCCTTTTTCCGGTGCATCTTTTCATGATTTGGATTTTGGACGGTTGTTTTTCCCCCCAATAGTAGCTTTTCCTTTAAAATGCTGGTGAAAATGACTGATGATATGCCCTTGACAGCCTGTAAAAATAATATGGACAACCCCGCATTTGTCCTGTAAAGTGTAATCCGTATTTGTAGGCTACTAGCTAGACTCCTCTGATATTTTTGGTCGGCAAATGTTGACACCTTAACGAATGTGGCTTCATATTCTTAGGAAGCGCTTTCGATGTTTGTGTATAATATATCTACTACATTCCTCGTCGTTTATAAATGGTTTTCGTTTTTGCTCCGAATCCACTTTCCGCCTTTCCTTTTTTATTAAACAAGGCCTTGCACGGGAAAATTTATGCATTTTTTGTTCTTCTCTTTTTCGAAATTGGTTAAACTTTAGTTCGTATGGATTTACTTTTTCTTTTTGGTACACTTGAATGGTTTCGGTAATTCATGCATTTTATTTCAAATATAACGGAATCATGCTGTAGTTGTCATACTGTGGAAATGTAGTACATTCCAGAGTTGAGTGCAAAAATCGGAGTTGCAGAGATGACTGGCTTGACGGTCATGTGCCCAAATTCGGCTGTATCGGGAAATAAGTTTCTATTGTTGTATTTATGTGGAAGCCATGTGGTTTCAAATTGGAAAGTGCTGATGCAGGCAACATATTGTTATTGAATATCAGGCCAGAGAAGGAGTCAAGATTGAGCACGAGAAGAAGCTGTCCGCACTGCAACATCAAGAGTACAAGGGGGAGGACGAAACCAAAGTAGACAAGACCAAGGCGTCGATAAAGAGGCTGCAATCACTAATCATTGTCACATCTCAGGCCGTCTCTACCACCTCCACCGCCATCATTGATCTTAGAGACTCCGATCTCGTGCCTCAACTTGTTGAACTGTGCCACGGGTAAGTCTCATCTTTTTTTTTTCTTTTTTTTGTTTTTTGATTAAATGAATAAGAAAAATCTTTTTTTCTTGTGGAAAAATATATTTGGGGTACTTTTCTGTTCGTTATAAATTTCTGTTGGTGAAGTTAAATTTAGCACATGTGAAAAATGCAAGGCCTTTTAACTTGGTAGCTGGAGGTGTGTTATGAGCGACTCCTCTGCTGTGCCACTTGCTTCTTTCCCCCTCTGGAACCACATGTTCCATGTTGTCCTGGATTGTCCAATCCAATCTAATCCGGTCTCTGGCCACCTCTTAAAACTAGGCAGTGGCCCCAAAATTTCTTCTCCGGTGGCTACTTTTCCTCTTGTCTGTAAACCCTTTTGGTAACAGTTATTGTAGATGGAGGGTTTGGTGGATTGGACTTTAACTATGACATGTCCCACCATTGTCTGTTTCTGGATCCACTTCCCGATCTGATTAGCTAACAAGGTCACTAACATCGTTAAGTTTTCAAATTCTTATTGCTTATAAATCGGTGTCATTATTGAGAAGCGATACTCCCTCATCACCAATTCACCGTGTGGCAAGCTCTTACCGGACATGCGGTTCACTTTTTGAACACGTGTCAAGTGCCACTGGGGCTATGATTTGGTTGCAATAGAGCATTTCTCATCGTTATGAGAAGTGACAGTTGAATAATCATCATGTTTGTGGGATCAATTTTGAAGATAATAATTACCAACTTAAATTACCAAAAGGTCCTACACCAATTTACCTTTCTTGCTTGAGGTGGACATACTTTGTCCGAAAGGAGTGAATGAGATGGAGGGTAGGTAAGACTTGTGTGTTATCTTCTCTGCTACTGCTCAGACTTGTATAGATTTTTCTTTCCGGTAATAATATTGATCAAAAAATCGGATTAGCGTATTATATTCCGTCATATACATGGAACTGTAGAACAATAGTTAAATTCTTCTGATGGCCCTGCTTTATCGAATAATCTGTAGATCCACTTATCATATGAGTAGGGTTTATCTGAACAGTGATTTGAATTTGAAATGTCTATATATATGCGTGATATACCGAATGCAGGTTCATGTACATGTGGAGATCAATGCACCAGTACCATGAAGTCCAGAACGACATTGTACAACAGGTCAGGGGACTTGTGAACCGATCAGCGAAGGGTGACTCAACTTCGGAACTACATCGGCAGGCAACACGTGACCTTGAATCAGCTGTCTCTGCCTGGCACTCCAGTTTCTGCCGTTTAATAAAGTTCAAACGGGACTTTATCCGGTCTGTTCATGGTTGGTTCAAGCTCACCCTTCTTCCTGTAAACAACGACATGACTTTCAATGTGCACAATGAATCTTCTGATGTATATTCCTTCTGTGATGAGTGGAAGCTTGCACTTGAGCGCGTCCCTGACACAGTAGCTTCTGAGGCTATCAATAGCTTTATCAATGTTGTCCACGTAATCTCTGTGAAACAGAGTGAAGAGCTCAAGATCAAAAAACGCACTGAAACTGCGTCAAAGGAGCTTGAGAAAAAGGCTTCTTCTCTCCGAAACATTGAAAAGAAATTCTACCACTCCTACTCCATGGTTGGTATTGGGCTTCCTGACTCGGGGCCTGAAAATGGGCAGGTTTTGGATGCGCGAGATCCTCTTGCTGAGAAGAAATCTGAACTTACAACCTGCCAGAGGCGGGTTGAAGATGAGATGATGAGGCATACAAAGGCGGTGGAGGTGACAAGAGCCATGACTCTAAACAATCTTCAAACAGGCTTGCCAGGAGTATTTCAGGCACTGACCAGCTTTGCTGGCCTATTTACGGAGGCACTTGAGTCGGTTTGTACACGTTCCTACGCCATCAAATAGACGGAAAACGTAGTTTCGGTGCCCGTGGTTTTGCGGTAATTAATTCGGAGTTTATCAGAGCTGGGAATTTTTTGTCAGGGTGCTCATATTGTTGGTAGTATTCTTTTGGGGGGTTTACAACATGTAAATATGTGGAATTTTGTGGTTTGCAAATCCTTTTGTTTTGGAGGAAGGAAAAGTATCTATGTACAGGGAAGTGCTTAAGATTGTTGTTAACCTTTCTATTCGAGCTGAGCTGAGCTTCTTTGCAGTTTTCGGCATACAAATAAATATTCGTGCTTTGCTTCTTTTGTTTACCTTTCTACATCATTAACCGAGAAATTCGCATTTACCTTTTTTTGAGTTCTAAACTAACTAGCTATTAGTCTGGTAGTACGACACCGTCTTGAGGATTATGGTAACTATATGCAACCTTGAGCCTCTAGTTGCTACTATCATATCACATACACTGACTAAAATAAAAACAAAAAATGGACTAGTATGTAGCATTATATTTCCTCAAATAAATAAATAAATAAATGAATTTCTTCTCAAACCTAATATGGCATTGGTCATCCCTTCTCCATTACTTTTATTATTATTTTTCTTTTTGATACAACAATATTGGGCTAAGCCTCATAATGTTTCGTCAGTAATTAAGTGTCGAAATCGCCATTGCAGAAGTTGAACATAAAACCTCCGACTTACATGTGTAGAAGAATATCACTAGACCATGGACTACTAGTTACTTTCATATTGACCAACAGCAGTTCTTGGTTATAAACTGTGTAAAGATTCAATCAGTTGCCAATTCAGACGGTTGACTAACCTGACTGCAAATTAGGATCTACTAAAATTTTAAATTTTATTTCACATTTTCCACTTGAGCAATAACCAACAACGCCGGTGAGATTCTCCTCCGACGACCATCACCGGGGCCAAACTCTGGCCAACCACCACCAAAAATAGAATAATGTGATATGAGTGGAATTTAAATCTTCAACAACTCCGGTGAGATCTTCCCAACAGTTTTTCGAATCCTGCATTTAAGTAACGATTCAGTGTGAATATGCATGTCAACCTTGCATGTGACATCTAGAGGAGGGTTTGCAGATACTGATACTCACCATGTTGGAGGCATTGATACTGATACTGCTGGCTTAATATCGCATACGTTTGTTGGTTTATGGAGTATGGTATAGAATTAGATACTAGGCAGCCCTTTAAGCATCGGTTTCGAATGAGTTCAGTTCAGGGATTATTCTTATTCTTCTTAATGATTGATGTGTTAGCAGCTGTAAGTTTTGTTTAATAAATGAGTCCTTTTTGAGAGGTCTGGGATTCTGGTGTAGTACTATAGGTTTGTTTTTAGTTGGCGGATATCATATCCAACTTTCATAGATCTTTCAGTTGTTATAAAAGTTTTTTTCTTGTGAAAAAAAGTTGAGCATAAGGTTTGCATTGTAAGAATATTGGACAGTTGGACTTTGCTAAAAGCTAAATTTTATATTGAAAAAGCCCAATATGTCAGCCCAATAGCCTAAAAGTCATAAATTATTTTAGGATTCCCGATTTGTCCCGAAATCCTGAAACTATTTCGGGATTTCTGAAAATTTAGTTTGAGATCGATCTTGAAATTAGGATTCCTGTAAACTTCGGTTTAGAAATCGGAACAAGGATTTCGGTTCGGTATCCCATACCGAACCAGCCCTACTTTCACCTTGGAAACTCAACGAGGGAGTAGTTTGGACGGAGAACATCTATATTGTACCGCAGCAGCATGGGAAAATCAGCAATCATCTCACCTAAAAACTCCGTGATGTATGCCAAGTGATCGAAAATATTTCATACTAACCTCGAGCTTTTTCACAATGTTGCATCCTAGGAGCTCTGGTCGCAAAGCTATAACCTTTCCAATATCCGTCTCACTAACTCAACCTTTGGTCATCAAGAATATGACCTGCGTTATATTCCACTAACATGTTAAAAGGGTGAATATTAGATGTTAATCCTTCGATTAAAAACTGAAACTGGATATTAAGAGCCCGTTTGATACCTAGTTTTTTTTATTAAATCCCAACCTTGTAAAAATGAAGTTGAGTTTAGAAATGTCCCAAAGTGTGATTTGACTAAAGATCTCAACGAGGGAGCAAAGTGAATTAAGAAGTAACATAAAGCTATCAAGTAAATGATGTACTCGAATTCAGTTACATAGAGTTTACAAGTTTAATTAATTGGTCATGTTTACTTTTATTTTAATATGGGTAGTTATAAAAGGCTTATTATATTAACATTCCGCAAATTGTTAAATAAATCTCACATACTTAATACATCCCACATTTGCTTTTTCACTTAAAAATTATCTCAATATACATCTTATATTTTCTACATACACCCCACATTTCTCAAATCTTATAACACTCTTTTTTAATTTTCATGGACTGAATCTAAACATTTGAACGTTTCGTTTGCCGAATGATTTCAAATCATCTGAGAGCCATTGATATTTAATACTATATGAACATATGCAACTCAATTTCATGAGTGTGGCTGTCTAACATTCAATTGAAATAGATTCATATAGTTGCTACCCATTTTCTCAAGGGTGGCCGCATAAAATGTTGCCTTTCTTAATCGCTAAACTTTTCTCTTGGGGATGATAAGGTGGGTTTTCCCAGACATATGTTGTCATTCATATATTGAAGAACTAGGTCTCCATCTTTTTTTTTTTTTTTTTTGTCGAAAAGAACTAGGTCTCCATCTTTCTAATACAAATAACATAAAAGAAGCAACAAATTTGATGGGGATTGGCACCAAATGATTCCATTAGACCTTCAAAATTACCTTCTCTCAATACATGTGGAAGGTATATCGATTTCGTGTTCCATTAATCAAAAATAATGTTTCTCAGTCAACATGTCTATAATTTTATTAGTTAGGGTTTTGTTCAACAATGGAGGGTGAGAGGGGTTTTGATAGTTGAAGAAAAGAAATAATACGCTAAAGGTGATTTGTGGTGTATTTAAAATTAAAAAAAAAAAAAATTACTAGTTTTGTGTGAAATATAATTACGGGCGGTCCTCTTGTGAATCGCCTTCAGCATTCGTTGGCCCATTACCCAACTAACCCAACCCTAAACCCTAAACCATTTCTTCAGTCTCCCCTCACGCATCGTTCGTGGCGTCTCAAGCTCACCCAGAGGAAGCTTTAGCTCCACACTCCAGAAAAATCAGGTTTGCCTTCTCACTCAATAATATTAATAAATAATAAAGCCTTAAATCTTCTTCTGATATTTTTCAATTTTAATATGTTTTGGTTTCTGGGTATTGCTCTTTTATTTATTTAACTATTTCCTGTTGGGAATTCATGATCGCTGACTGGTGTTTATGTGGTAATTAGATTATATGAATCTCCATTTCTTGACTGTTTGTAACTGGGTTTCTGATGTCGAAGTTTCAATTTCACTCTTGAAATAGTTCCCCAATTTTTGTTGGAATTTAAGGCGATCTGAAGCCTTTTCGTAGAAGAAATGGCACAAAACCGAGTGCAATGACGTTTTAGGATTCATATAGCCGACCCCACATAGCGGGATAAGGTTTGTTATTGTAGTGGTGTTATTTTTTGAGCGTATGCAAACCCAATTTTTGAAAAAATTACTCTTCGATATGCAACTTATGTATAAACAGATATAAGGTGAGGGTTCTCATTGATGTCGGTGAACTGAAATGATTTGGTTTCAAAGCTCGAGTATTCTGTGGTGATTTTCTTTCAGGGTTTTGCCCATCTTTCCGGAAAAGAAGACGATGAATTTTGCAACATCAATATGCAGTAGGTTGGGTCTGAAGAACATTGTTACGAATACTCCCGTATACAGCAGTGCTTCTGGTACGAGTTCAGTATCACTGAATGAGTTGTGCTATAATGTAGCATGATTATGTTGTGTTTCTGCTTCTAAGTCCTGATGTTTTGGTTGATGTGCTAATTTCAGATGTCACGGCAGAAGGATTGAGTTTGACCTTTAGGCGCTGGGCTACTAAAAAATCTGCTGGATCCACCAAAAATGGTCGAGATTCAAATCCCAAATTTCTTGGAGTGAAGAAATTTGGCGGAGAGGTGAGAGGCTGTTGTGTGTAAAAAAACATAATGGACAGTTCGTTATTGCTTGTCTAATTCTTCGGTTGGAATGACTGTAATGTTGTTATTCTGTTTATGTTGCAGAGAGTGATACCTGGAAACATCATAGTTCGCCAAAGAGGCACCCGTTTTCATCCTGGAAATTATGTTGGTTTAGGGAAGGATCACACCCTTTTTGCTCTGAAAGAAGGCTCTGTTAAGTTTGAACACCACAAGCTCAGCGGACGCAAGTGGGTGCATATTGTGCCAAAGGAAGGTCACGTGCTTCACCCCGTCTATGCAAATGGTGCGACTGCGCCATCGACAGCGTAGTTGAAGACGGTTTCAGATCCTTGTGAGCTTGTTATTAGATCATTTTAGGTTCAAACCTTTCCCCGGGTTGGTTAGAATAAGAAAAGCGATACCCCAAAACATATGAAATACATCATTTTTGACAGTCGAACGAGACAGAATTGTTTCAAATGAATGCTGTACCCGCCTTTAAACCAATATATTCAACCAGACATAAGCACATATCAACGACCTTTTCTGATCGCAGTTGTTAGCGCCGAACATCGCTACTCAATCATTCAGTAAAGAATCAACAATGTTAATGTGCATAGTATTTACACTGCGATATAAACACGTAACACAGACTGTCCCTTCCAACATTTGTACTTGCATTTCCTGCAACTCGAAAAAACAAGGTGCAACAGAAACAGAACGACAGAGTCTCAATACATAGCAATTGTATTAGCAAATAATGAGATCCCTGCTCAAAACACTAAAACTGGTAGCACTCCGATAACCTTTGAAAGGGGGCCGTCAACGAACCAGCTAAAGTCTATCGCTGTATAAGTTTACTAAACAGTTTTCCCCATTAAAACAGGGATTTCTTTCTATAGAACACAGTGAATGCGGCATACTCTTTCGGGATTTAAATGATGGGTACGAATACAAGATAGCACAATAACCCTGTGATCCAAACTAAAAGAACTCAAAGTCTAGATATTGACCCCCGGACTTCACGTCTGCCCCAACCATTCTTTTACTGTTGCTTCCGACACCAACAGGCTCAACTGCGCTATATTTCACTGGCACTTCAGTTTCCATCGGTCTTGGTACTTCTGGTGGTGTGCTGCATCGTATTAGAGCCCAATTTACACCTTCGAAGAAGGGATGCTGTTTGATCTCAGTTGCACCCCTTTTCACCCCAAGCCGGTGCTGTGGCTCTTTCACCAGCAAACCCCGAATTAGGTCGCGGCTTGCATAACTAGTTGCGGGGGAATCTGGGAATTTAAGTTGCTGCCCCACCACATTGAACAGTGTAGCACGGTTTCCTGAACCTTTAAAAGGGGTTTTGCCATACAGTAACTCATGCAAGAATATACCAAACGTCCACCAATCAACTGCACTACCATGGCCTTCTCCCTTAATAATTTCAGGGGCTAGGTATTCATGGGTTCCAACAAAAGACATGGACCGAGCTTGAGTAGGCTCGGCAACAAGCTCTGGAAGTGCATTGGTGGCAAACCCTGGCTCAGCTCGAGGCTTTCGGCTCTTCTTGCTTTTCTGAGGGAAGAACCTTGGGATAAAACAAGAAGGCTGAATGCATACTGATGACGGCTCGATACATGCAGGCTGGACGCAGAACGCACCTGCTCCTCGTTTGGAGGGATCCGAATCATATGAAGTTCTTATCAGGGTCGGTGAAACAGAGCATCTCAGTGAAAGATCAAAGTCAGAGAGCATTATGTGGCCATCGTCACGAACAAGCACATTTTCAGGTTTTAAGTCCCTGTAGACAACACCAAGCATGTGTAGATACTCTAGTGCCAACAGAACCTCCGCAGCATAGAATCTACAAGAACAAAGATAGACAAGTATATTACTGCCTGTCTACTATCTATAATACATATAAAAACAGAACAACATTCTCAAATATGATAAATTATACTGCATCCAATCTGCGTATTATTGAACTGCGTAATCCAAGTTTCGTTTAAAGATGGTAGATGAAGTAACTGTAGGCCATATATGGAATGAGAATTTTGATTTGTGATTGCATTTCAAATATATGGACTTGCGATCGCATATTGGGGATCCTTTGCATTTAAAAGTCCCCGCTAGGAAAGGGAGGCAAAAGGTAACGTTTGGTTGAATGCTCCAACTTCCAAATCATTGATTCAAGTATTTCTAGATTGGATGGATCAAGGTTGTACAAAAACATGTCAATGCGGGCATAGGGTATTTTCTTATACATTGACAAAAGGTCCAAGCCAATCATGAAGAGCAATACGTTCAATGATGTTGTGTTCATTTCTTGTTTACGTTATAATTGTTTATACTTCAATCATTATTCTACATACTCTTTAGATTCAAAAAGGCTTCCAATCCAAGCATAAACAGCCAAACCTACAATGATTTCAATATGTTATTCAGCCTTTTAGTCAATTATATTTTATAGTAGAAAATTTGTTAACTTTTACACAGTATTTGGATTCAAACACAAAGTAAATGAGGAGTATGACCTTGTTAGTTATAGGAAACAAAAATGTCAGTAACAAGAGAGACAAGTAAAAGACAGTGGACAAGATGTCCTAGAGTTCCAATAACCCCCACCATGTCGCAACTCTGTGGTATAGAAGTTTACTATTTTTCATTTCTTATTTACTGTCGGTGAGAATGGAGATTGATGATTTCATGCAAAATACAGAAAAGTACTGTTAAAAGCATGATAACCATCAAAGATATGAAACTATCTCTAAATCTAAATCTCCATTAAACAAACATTTACAAGCCATTAAGAAGCATAACAAAAAGACATTTGTGCCAGAAAAAACTAGATCAATTGCAATTAACAATTTCCATGTTGGAAAACTCCAAAAGAGGCAACATCATAAACACAAAAAGATAGAGATCTCCACAAAAAAAAAAAGAAATATTAACAATGATATAGATAGGAGGCTACCTTCTTGATGAAAATAAGGAACAGTAAAGTATAAAAAAATGCATCAGAAATTAAAGCCATACCTCGCAGCATACTCAGAGAAGTGTTTTCCAGGTTGTCGTTGCCTCAGAGTGTGCAGATCACCCCCTGGACAATATTCCATGACCAAACAGCAGAACCTGTCGGTCTCAAAATGTGTATATAAAGTTGGAAGGAATGGATGGTCCAGCAGTTGCAAAATCTCCCGTTCTGTCTGAGCCCTAGTCAACTTCTTCCTGCTTGCAAGGGATGCCTTGTCCATTACTTTCATTGCGAAATAACAGCGGGTTCCACTTAGTTCTGAAAGATAGACACTACCAATATCACCACAACCAAGCCGTTTGAGTAATCTAAAATGGCTCATACCCAAAATCCCATCCCGAACTCGAATAGCAAGAATCGCCTTCCACCTAGGATCATTTCCTTTATGGGGCTTATTAGCACTCCCAGTAAGGTTGCTCCAGTTGCTGTCATCACTAACGCCACTACTATCACTTGCTCGACTAACACTAGTTTTTGCACTCTCAAGTGAATCCCCTCTAACACTCCCTTTGGTACTTTCACCATTTCTCTCAAAACTAAGCATGCCATCACTAGTGATTGCGTCACTCCTATATGTACTAGCGCAGCTATTGGCAATACTCATAGCAGTGACAACACAAGCACTACCGATGCTACTAAGTGGACTTACATTACCACTCGGAGGCAAAGAAGCATCCCAAACACACTCCTTCTCCTCGGAATCTGGAGGAATGAGTGAATTATCTGTATTCTGTGATGCACGCTGAACCGCAAATGGTGGAGACAGTGCACCTATGTCGTTGGGTTCTTCAAGCAAGCTTTCAGAAGGGGAAAGAACAGTTGGACTTGGTTTCTTAGCAGGAACCCATGGGGAAAGATCTTCTAGAAAAGGGCCTTTCATAGATAAGCTCTTCATCAAGCATCCAGCGTCGGACTTATTCTGACCAATCGGTACATACACTGGTTTCATTAGATCCATATCAACAGGTTCTGGAGGGTGACTAACCCCGGCGAAAAAACTAGGACCACCTTCATCAAATGAATCTATACTTCCCTTGAATGTGAGAGAGCCAGACAAAAGTTCTTCCTCTTCTGGCAAAGAGACCTTTCCTTTCCTTGTTCTTAAAGGTATAGGCAAGTCAGAATCTTGAGACTCCCGTGCATTAAATCTCCCATCTTTTACCATAACAGAATGCACATTTGACAACTCAGCCATTTGCCTTGCCAATGCAATTTCTTCTCTCACCAAGCCTAAGCGCCCATTGGATAACTGACCCCTGTCTCTAGTAGAAGCAACATCTTCTCTTGCCAAACCAGAGCGCACGTTTGACAAGTGATCCACTCCTCTTGTTGAGGCTGAACGTGAATAAATCACCTCAACTCCCACGGGAAACTTTTTAGGAAGCACCTTTGATTCCGAAACCCTCTCCATGCCTGGTCCATTGGATAACTGACCCCTGTCTCTAGTAGAAGCAACATCTTCTCTTGCCAAACCAGAGTGCACGTTTGACAAGTGATCCACTCCTCTTGTTGAGGCAGAACGTGAATAAATCACCTCAACTCCCACGGGAAACGTTTTAGGAAGCACCTTTGATTCCGAAACCCTCTCCATGCCTGGTCCATCGGATAACTGACCCCTGTCTCTAGTAGAAGCAACATCTTCTCTTGCCAAACCAGAGTGCACGTTTGACAAGTGATCCACTCCTCTTGTTGAGGCCGAACGTGAATAAATCACCTCAACTCCCAGGGGAAACTTTTTAGGAAGCACCTTTGATTCCGAAACCCTCTCCATGCCTGATAACCACGTATCTCATAGAAAATTCTTGGAACGAATAATCTGCAAAGTAAATCTAGATTTAGCTTACACGAATTCTTCGCATATACAGTCAGATCTTAATGTGTAAGCAGTCCAAAAACAATACTTCCATTCCATTCCATTCCATCTTTATCAGAAATTGCAATGAAAAGCATGCGAACTTCTTTTACTTCTTTTACGAAAGAGCTAATACAAAGAATATTCAATGAAAAATAAGGATCCATTTACAATGCCATATGCTGGTGTTTGATTTCTTCTTCTATATATTCAATAAAACGGAAATAAGCTATTAACTAGCCCAAATTTGAACACAAAACTAATACAAGTTGAATTTGAATAAAGCAGACAAGTTGGGAATGTGAATTAAAAAAGCCATTCAATCATGAAACCCCAATTGCCAAAATTTTCCATAACCCCCACCTCCTCAAATTCCTAACTTCACTCCCACTCAACCACAATTACACCAAAAGTACACCTTTACATATATCAAGTTAAACACAAATTACACACAGTATATAGAAGCAACAAAATTTATACCAAAAAAAAAACCCCACAAGCTCAACACAGCAAACCTTCATTTCCAATAAACCAAACAAATATTTTTGGAAAGAAAAAGGGAGACAGAGAATGTGGAATCCGTAGATAGTGAGAGCAGAGAGAGGAGCAGAATTACATTCAAAATTCCAAATGCAGAAGAATCGCAATGGCAAACGCACCAGAGCAAAACGAAGTCGAACATTTACACCTGCGGATGCCGGAAGGCCCTGTGACCAACAACAACGAAAATTGCAAGGGTTAAGCTATTATTCAAATGCCGAGGTTTTTCTCTTCCTTCACTTTTTCTCCTTTATTTTTGCAATTTCGGGGAGCCAAAGCGAGACCAGAGCTCTCTCTCTCTCTAACTTTTCTCTCTCTAGAGATGTTTCTCTCTCTCTCTCTCTCTCTCTCTCTCTGGTCTCTGTGATCTATGTGATTATGGTGATTGTAATTAAACAGCTTTTGCTTTTTTGTAGGTGGGCTGCGCGCACTTTAGTTGTAAGCTGCTGACTGAGGAGCGAGAGAGTCTACAGTGCTAGAGAGAGAGTGTGGGGTGGGGCCGGCCTCGCAGAGGAGAGTGGGACCCGCGCGTGTTCCTTCTTTAAACTACACTTCTTTTTCAGAGATGGACCAGATGGCGACTCTTGCTCTCTCTCTCTCCCCGTCTTCTCGCGCCTCTCACATCGCATCGCACTGCCAGAATCCTCGCTCGTCAGTCTCTTTGGCTCTGAAAATGACCACACGCTTTTTCCTGCGCGTGCATTGTTGGGGTTTCGTATTTGGATAAATGTATATATATATATATATATATATATATATATATATATATATATATATATATTTTTTAAATAATACTAAGAAGACTGAATTTTTAGGTGTAAATGTTAAAGATACCAAATTTGTATACAAAATTTGCAAACTAAATGATATGTCACTAATATGAATGAGCACGTTTATCAACACTTAATTAATAATCCAATCACGTACTTTCATGTAATTTAGTTTACAAAATTTTGTCTACACGTTTAGTTTTTCTAGCATTATCCAATTTGTAAAATAAATTTTATAAACCAAATAATGTGGTTGTTGATGATTGGATTATTACTCACGTGTTGATGAACGTGCTTATTTTTTATTGGTCACATAATTTGGTTTAAAATTTTGGACTCTCTAACATTATCATTTTTTTTCAATCAAAATGGTCCCTTAGGTTGGGGAAACTCCTCAATTTGATCACTGAGATTTGAAATTGATAGAATTGGTTCCTAAGTTTGTCCATCATCAATTATTTTAATCATTCTGTGATAAATCTCTATTAAATAGGAATATAATTGATCCTTATTTAATAGAACTTTTATGGAATGACCAAAATGATTTATGGTGAACAAACTTATGGACCACTACTATTGATTTCAAATTCCAAAGACCAGAGTGAAAAATTATACCAATCTCAAGGAACATTTTGACTAAAAAATCGTTTTCTTTTTTTTGATGAATTTGGGAGTGGTGCAAATACAATCATGCTATGATTTCTCTCTCTTATTATTTGGATTATTTGCATGGTGAAATGGTTTTGGATGATTTGTATGGTGATATGGCTTTATGCGTGTACCAAATCCAATCATACTTGAGTGATTAAGGAGACAACAGCTTCATGGAAAACTATATTACATTAAAAATGGAAAAATAATACAAATATATTGGGTAATCAATTAAAAAACGCTAGCCGTCGAAAAAGGAAAGAGAAGATTGCGTGATCATCGATATTTTTACACTATAGGGGAGGGGAAGTTCAACTAAGCCACACAATAAGCATTGTAATTTGGTATCAAATTCGCCATCTACGATATTCGAACCTAAGACCTCTCACTTCTAAGCGAAAATGAATATCACTGACCGTAATTGTTAGATTAAAAAAGAAAACAAGGAATTTTTGCTCCAAAATGTCATGGATTACCTTTTTTTAAAAATATTATTTATTGACTTATTTATCTTCAATAAATGTTGTATTTCTGAAATAGGATTCTTTGGGCATCAAGTATTTTATTTTTTCTATATTTTTGTACTCACTGACAATTATATATTTTTGTACTCGCTGACAATTTTAACTATGTAGAGACGTGTTTTATTATGATGAAATCAAGAAAAATTATAACTTATTACAATATAAAGTTAATTCTAATACATAACTGGTCCCAAGTTGGGACCAGAATCTTTTATAACTTTTTTAATAACTTTTTATAACTATTATTATGTGTATTTCAAATATATAATGTCAGGTAGTTTTTGAATAAAAGTTTTCATATGTAATGAGGTTATGCGAGTTACCGTGCTTGGATTTGGTTAGGATAGAAGATGCCAAGATGGTGAGTCCAAAGTAGAAAAAGGGCAAACGACAACGTTTGGAAAAAAAACAGAAGTAAGATACAAAACCCATCTTCATTTTGACTTGACCGTTCTATTTACCACCACAAAATATTTTACCCCGGCGAATAATTAAACCTAGCTAATAGTGGCTCTTATACCTAATAATTATTATTTTTCACCATAGTTTAGCTCGTCTAGTTAGGGCTGTGTTCGGTTTAAAACGGTTCGGTTTTTTGCCAAAATCAAAACCGAACCGAAATTTCAGTTCGGTTCGGTTCAATTTTTTTTTGGTTTTTTTCGTTTCGATTTTTTTTTCGGTTTTGTTTTGACCCGGTTCGGCTTTTATTTTTTATTTTTTATTCAATAGCAAAAAAATCCCTGAGATTTCAGAGCTCCATGATGAAATAGAAAGTGCTCAGGACTGGATAGGCAACCCATCTGTCTAAAAGAGTTCTACCAATGATTCACACCACTAAGATTTCACTACCAATCAAGCACACTCATACACACCAAGTCGCATGTTTTCAATGCCGAGTCGGATTCCTTACTCAAATAATTCCCAGAGCTTCAAGCTAGTACAGTACCATTCCTAATTCCTAAAGCTCAGTTATTCAATACAAACTACAACAATTCTATTCCGAATCCGAATGCATTACTATCCAAAACGAAATTGAAACCGATGAAATCCAGTACCCCTAACCAAACAAACCTTAAATTCTCCCAATAACAAAAAAAAAAAGCTCACCTTAAACGAAGCCTTAAGCCTCCCAAACGAATCATCCCGATTCTTATTCTCCACCATCACCATCCTCTCATACTCCTCCTCCTCGACCGTACCGCTCTGCTTCTTCTTCACCTCATCCGATTTTTTCTCCAACGCTGCCTGCTCCTCCTTTTAGAGCTCATTCTCCTCCAGTTCCGCCAATCGGCGGGCCTCGGCCTTCCGCATGGCAGCCTCTGCCAGCTTCTCGGCTTCTTCCTCGCGTTTCTTGGCCACGTGGGATTTGCTGCCCTCCACCTCATGCCAGTACTACTCGTCCTTCTCGCGAGCCTCGCGCTCCTTGCGCTCGACTTCGGTGGAGCTCTTTATAGAGATACTCTTCGGGGTAGAACGATGCCATTTTAGAATAGGATTATTAATTAATAAAATAATTACAAAACGACGTCGTTTTGAATAACTTCGATTCGGTTTGGTTCGATTTTTTCAATTTGGTTTAGTTTTTTCTTTTGGTTCGGTTTTTTTGGTTTGGTTTTCAGTTTTTTTCGGTTTTCGATTTTTTGAACCCACCCCTACGTCTAGTTCTCCAAAGAGCTCCGTCTAGGGTTTAGAGTGGTACTCCGATGTCCTTCACAGTCGTTTCTCCCGATCTTCAGAAGGTCTCGAAACGACCCCGGTTCGTATATAGATCCACCCCTCTACGTATGCATATAAAAACAATGTACTCATGATTCATTCATAATACACAATGTACGCATAATACTTTAAAAAACAATGCAATTCTACTTAAGCAAACAATGAAATCAAGCACGGGTACATACAAAAAAAAATTACAAGAAAATGGGCATATACCAAAAAACATAAATAAATATAATGGGAGAAAATTCAAGGGTACATTATAAACACAAAGACAAATAAAGAATTTTCAATAAAACTTTTGGGTTCGTGGCAAATGATATCCAAGAACTCCTCTCTAGTTTTCAGGATAGTTCACTCGAGTATATTCAATGGAATTGCAATGTAGTGGCTCATCACCCAGTTAAGTCCAGTTTAATTTTCAATGAGCCAAAAGTTTGGCTTGAGGAACCCCTTAAAATTATATGAGGTGTCCTCTATCAAGATTTGTATCCTATTTGAGTTTTATTCGAAATAAATATCGTTTCTATTAAAAAAAATATATTCAAATAAAAATAGTGACGTGGACAAAAGTCAAGACTTTGATTAAAAACTGAAAATTAATAAAATTTCAGTCAATAAATTTTGGTGGTTAGCTAGTAATGGATTTTAATTTTTTTTTTTTTTATTATTTAGAAAAATATTTTGAGTTGTCGGGTTAACTTGATGGTTTGTTCCTCCCACAAGAATTAACTGGCTTCCTACAATTTTTCTATTATGTACATTCGAAGGCACATATTTACATATTATAAGTCATTTTCTGTCATATATGCTTATCAGTTTATGTCCAACGTGATGCAGCCGCTACCATGATATGTCACATTCATATGATTCATGCAGAATTGAAGGACTTCATTTCTATGTTTTTATCTGTGTCAAATGAAAAAGACATTTCAGACACGCCAAGAGAGTTTCTCTTTTTATGCCAACGACAATCTTAATCTCGAATATATAATAAACATTTTTTAACTTCCATTTAGTACTATGGTTTACTGTTATTCATGTTCACTTGTAAACAATAGTGTAAATATTCATCCATAGTGTAAACATAGTGTAAATATTCATTCTTAATGTAGATACTATAGTTTGTTAAAAAAAAAAAATTATATATATATATACACACAGATTGCTTAAGGGAAGGGATCCCCATTTTTTTGAAAAAAATGGGGATTAGGTGTGGGGCCCACTCCACATCGAATTTTAACGATCTGAACCGTCTATTTTGTTAGTCTCGATTCATAGATCATCCTTGCAAAAATTCAATTCAATCCGAAACCCATGTGGCATGCCTAGCGAAAGCGAATTAATTGAGCCATTTTCCATGAAATTGTTTTGGTGAAAACAAAAAATAAAAAAATAAATAAACAGTTTGAAATGTATGATGATATTTTTGAAGTGATTGAAACAAGTAATTAACATCATATTAACTAATAAATCACTTAAATGTTGAGTGAACTACCAATATAATGATGGTTTATTTTAGACTAGATGAAATCGTGATTTATTTTGGTTAATAATTGACGTGATGTATTATTACTGAAGAAAAGGATCAAATTCATCACAAAGACATGAAGTGCGGCGCCATTGTGAACTCCAATAGTCATACTATGGCCTCACTAGTCACTACAACTTTTGTACAAGTTTGACCACATTTTACGAAGATGTATTGATTAAGAATAT